AGGTATTGTGATATCTTAATCTGTACGTAGGTGCATATTATATTGATAATATGTGACTGGATTGACCCATCTTGAGAATACTGCATGGATCTACAATAATGTGTTTATCAGTATTCTCAAATCGACCTTGCTATAACTATCCTCAGACTTGAAGTTATTACATTCTCTGATATGTGGGGCCGTATGCTTTGATTCATAACTAATGCTATCTGAAATACTGGTAGACGTACAGTTATGCGTTGGGTATGCCGCTAAGCATATTTAGAGATGTGAATAACAAATACAAGATTTGTCCCTTCTACTGTATAGAAGTATAATGTCAATGGGCCCACTGAATAGTAGGACTTGGGAAAGTGCATGGCCATGCCCAGATATGTCGCTATCTAGAGACTGATAACTATCTGATCCCTGCCAGTCTACTTGAGATTCAGTAACAGCTGATTTAACTATACAAGGATACACATCCCATGCCTTGTGTTAAATCATGACATTTAGGACAGAAGGATAATAGTTATAGAACGTCTTGTGTCGTAGAAGGTATTGATGAGATGAACGTCTTTTTCATAATCTGGGGATAATAATGTGTTGCTAGATACCGCTTATTATCTATGATATTAATTTTATTAATATCATTGCCGGTGTTATGGATACCTAAAAGGTCACACACTTAGGACTTGTAAGGCAGTAGTATACTACACTAGTGGGAGTAATATTAAATATATAGTTGTGAATTCAATATTAATTCAATATTAATTCATATTCAATATTCAACATTCGACAATATCCTTAAACTATTCTTAGTCTAAGGCCAATCACTTTAATGTTTATCAACCCTTAAATGAATTCTAGTTTAAATCATTAAACTATATTCCAGTATAAAGTACTCCTAAATAATCCTTAAGCTAGGCCTAGTTTAAGATAAAAGGGTTTTGAAAATCTTAAACTTACCTTCACTTAAGGCAAACCAGAAACCGACAGCGTAGTGTTCACTATTGGGTGGGTGGTACGTCCAAATGAGTAGGTACTCAAGTTTGGTTCTTGGATCATGTACGTACGTTTTAACCCTAGCCACCGGGGTTCGTACCCGCATGGCCTAACTTAAATAGGTATATCTTAGAGGCAGATATTTTACTGGGGTCCACTTTAACACCTTCTTTTGAAATTACATGACCAAGAAATGTTACTTCATCAAGCCAGAATTAACATTTTGAATGTTTAGCATACAGTTGGTTCTCTCGTAGTACACTGAGTACTACCTCCAGGTGTTTTGCATGGTCTTCTCGATTCATCGAATAGACAAGCATATCGTCAATGAATACAATCACGGATTGATCAAGATAAGGTCGGAATACACTATTTATGAGATCCATGAATACTCCAAGAGCATTGGTCAAACCAAAGGGCATCACCGTAAATTCATAATGACCATAATGAGTACGGAATGCGGTCTTTGGGATGTCCTCTTTCTTGACAGGAATTTGATGGTATCCTGACCGTAAGTCAATCTTAGAGAATACAGTAGATCCTCTAAGATGATCAAATAAGTCATCGATACGGGGTAAAGGATAACGATTTTTTATTGTGACTTTATTCAATTGACGGTAATCGATGCAG